CCTTCCTCCATCCCAATTTAAGGGCTTGTTTGGATAGGGAGAAGAAAGGAGAGAAGATATGAAGAAAGAATTTAGGGTCCGTTTGGTATACGGAATTGACGGAATTGGAATTGAAATTCCATAAGATTGAATTCTACCAATTCAATTCATTTTTTACACTATCAATTCTAAATCCACATAATTTTTGTGCTACCAAACGCTAGAATTGGAATTGAAGTCTTCAATTTCAATTCCATAGTTTGAATTCTGTGTACCAAACGAGGCCTTAGAGAGAAAATAAAAGAAAATAATTACCGTTTGGATGGATAGAAAGTGGAGAGAAAAATGAGAATATAAAGGAACATGTAATAAAACAAAAAAGACATATTTACCCTTACTCTATAATAATGGATGTGAAACAATTATAAATAAAGAGGGCAAAATAGTAAATTGGCTTGTCCGGTTTTCTCCGAGAGAAAACATCAAGGCTCTTTTTTACTCTTTTTTTTTCTCCCACATTTTCTCGTCTAACCAACCAAAAGAAAACATTTTCTCTTTTTTCATTTTCTTTCTTCCCAATTTCTACTCAACCAAACAACATATAATTATCGATCGGTTATAATTTACAACTGAAACTATTTTTATTATGTTTTATATAAAAAATTGTCGTGAAATTTAAAAATAAAATTTTTATATTAAAAAATATAATCAAAATTCTATAAAACAAAAGGTGACATGATTAAGTATTATTTTGTCAAATGAGTATTGAAAAAATAGGTAATGAGAGTGATTAAAATTGATTTTATAAATAGTGACAAATAACTTTTTAACCTTTTTAACCTTCAAAATTCATATTTGTTTATGATAGGCTTAAGTGAAGTTGATTTCAAATATATTATTTTTAATTATCTATTGTGATATGATATTTTTAATTACATTTTTTAACCTGGCGGGAAACCACCAAAACCGGTGTGCTAAAGTCGGGGAACACTTACTTAAATTTTTTAGAAAAACTAATAAATACACATCTAGTGAGGACAAGATTGAAGCTTCAGATATTTTTAATTACATTATACAACAGAGTTGCTTATTATGATATACAACAACAACAACCCAATTAGATATAATTGATTAAAAAAATGTGTCACCATGACATATTGTATTTACACTAACATTCATTATAATTTCAATAGTAATGAGTGAAATTTAATTATGGAATAGAGATCATCTCTTTTATTACAAAATACAATATTTTTCTAGTTTTAATTTTCTTCACTTTATTTAAAATAAAATTATGGAAAAATTACATAAAATAATCTCAACTTTTCTCGGTCTTTCAAAAATAATCTCACATTTCACTGTGATGCATAATAATCCCAACTTTACTGAAATTTGCCAGTTTTGGGTCGCCGTTAAGTTTCTAACGGAGGGATAATGGAAATGCCCGTTTTATGCAACAAAATGAAAGTTGGATTATTTTTGATGATTTTTTGTTTTTTAATTTTTTTTTGAAATTTTTATTTAAATTTTTTGAATTACTTTCAACCTCCATTTCTTTTTCTTTTTTAAAGATTATTCTTACCTTAGAAAAAAAATAGATATAAAAAATAATGAAAATGAGAAAAATAACTAAAACCATACAAAATCAATAAAATAAATAATGTAATCAATAGAAATTAAACAGAAACTATTAAGAAATAAAATAAATATATATGGAGTTGTGGGTTTAACATTTTACACACTATACGGAGTCTTAATTTACTACTTATTTTTTAAAAGAACAAGTCGTCCAGTAAAGTTGGAATTATTGTAGATAATTTTTTAAAAAAAATAAGAAGTGATATGTTAATGCTTTGTATAATGCCTAAAATAAAAAACCCCCCGTATATTTTTATTTTACCTTTTTCCAATTTCTAGTTAGTTTCCATTGATTACCTTATTTAATTTATTATTTTTGTATCATTTTAGTTACATTTCTCATTTTTTCATTTTTTATATCTATTGTTTTTATTTTTTAAACTAAGACTAATCTTTAAAAAGGATACTTTCTTAGCCTCTAAAAAATTCATATTTGTTTGTGACAAGCTTAAATGAAATTTGTTTTTTATTTATTTTCAATGTTAATGTAAATAAAATATAAAAATACATGTTAATCTCTACATTAAAATATTAGTAAACAAAAAATAAATAAACTAATTTTTTAAATGATCAAATATTTAAGTCAAATAAATTAAAAGGGAATGATTTTACGTGCTTATATTATTTTACATTCAAAAAACTAAAAAAAATGAAATGTTTTTGTAAATTTATATTTGAATCATTGGATCACTATTGTTTTTCATATTCATTCTTTTGAATTAATGCAGGCGAGTGGAATCATTAGATTTTTAATGTATTTTAACTATAATGGTTTTAATCATAGTAAATCTAATCTTTTATTTTTTGAATCAACTCTTTTATTTTTTGAATCATGCAGGGGGAGAAGAATCATATTTTTTAAACAACTAGACTCGTACCCGTGCGATGTACGGGCAATAAAATAACTTAAATTTACTCATGGATTGGAATAAAAAAAATGTTACAAAAATTTAAAAATTACAAATTTTATTATAATTGCCCAAAATAAGGTATTGTACAGTAAGGATTGTAGTTGATATGCAGTGTTATAAGTTTTGGAACACTTCTTTATAAACTACATTCGTATTTTTGTTTGTTGACCAAAGGTCTTTTTTGAAAATCAAGATCTTTAACCCCTCGTGACTTGTAACACATGAAATCGCAACATAGAGCTGACCATGACTGAAAACCATGATATTTCACTTAAATAGCTAAGAATAAGAAAGAATATAGTATTAAGACAGAATGATGCTTAGAAGAAATATATGTAATGTTCGGAATTTGTAATTTCATAACAAAAACCAATTCTTGTCATAATCATAATAGACATACAAATAGTTACATCCTTATCCTTGTTCCAAAATACATGTCGGATAGATTACATACAAAGAGATTTTTAATTTCTTCCAACATTAGAGAATCATACAATACAAAAGTGGCAACATTAAATATCTTACGAAAATATTGACAATCTTAATCAAGGACATAAAAATCATTGAAATACCTTTTGTTTGGAATTTTAACTCGTTCAGATCGTCGTAGTAAAGTTGGTGTGGGTATAGGCGGTGTCGGAATCGCACAATGATCGCAAACAAAAAATAATCTCCATCCCACGTCACCAATTTGTAAGCATGTAAGATGACCACGTACGACAAATCATTTCCAACAATCTTTCATAAAATATGAGTCATGAATAGTCTTGCACATGTAACATGGGGTCAACCAACTGCAAATTCCTGTTTTAATTATGCAATACATAAACTAACTTAAAAATAAATTTTTATTTGTAAAAACAATTTAAAATCCGAATCCTTTAATTGGTTTAGAAAGGCTGTTTTAGTAATAACAAATTTTATTTTCTATAAAAACCATGGACCATTATTTTTTAAATTTTTTGTGTTCTTCCAAATTTAAAAACCTACACCTAAGGATAGGAGAAGCCCAATTTACTCATTTCAATTAAAGCCAAACCTACGCAGCCCAGTTTGTTCACCCCAATAACTATTAAAATATCTATCCCTACCCTAACCGTGGCCATGTTTGGCCCACGCCGCTCTTAGTTTGAAGTCTCTAGATCTTCCGTTTTCGTCTCTTTGAGAACGCCAGCAATGGAAGTAAGGAGAGAGAGACAGACACCCAGAGAGAAAGAGTACTTCCAGATGTTAGATGTAGAGAGAGAGTGATAGAGTCTTGAGAGAGAGAGAGGAGGGGCTCCGAGAGATAGAGGATGTCATTGCCGGGTTGTCATCGCGGTCTTCACCGGTATCTTTCATTGTTCATTAATATCAATTTTTTCCTCAGTTGATACTCTCAATCATTAAGGTTTGAATTTTGTTGGATCCGTTTATTTCTAAATGATTTCTAAATTTGAAAGCCCTTTTTTAAAACTTCAGAACCCTTGAATATTTTAGATCTATTTAAAACAACCATGCATGCGAATTTTTATAAATGATTAATAATAAGTTTTTGCTTTATAAGCTTAAACATCTTTTAAAACTACGGCAAATTGGTGGAAGAGAATATGAATTTTCTCCTTCATGCCTTGTTCTAAAGGCATGTTCATTCGTAATTATATTTATTTATTTGATCATAATAAGATTAATTTCTAAATACTGGTACGTTAAATTTCGAGCCTAAATTTTGATGTTTTATTAAAGACAAAATTCTAATTCTCATTTATCACTTGTAAATATTTATAATGTCTTGTTTAATTCATAATTTACAATAATTTATTAACATCATATTTACATTGGTTTCGATAGGCAGTTTTGTTTTATTTCCAGCATCAAGGATTATATTTCCTTGTTTTCAAAAATTTATTCGTGACATTTTGCATTTAAAAGTCATGATTTTACATCTATTGTTCACTCCAAATAAATGGGAGTGTAGACTAAAATAATGACAAAGTCATTGAACTGTTTGTACATGTTCAGGTTCAATTGCACATATTAAACCTCATTCTGCTAGCGTGTGTGTGTGTCTATATATATATATATATATATATATATATATATATATATATATATATATATATATATATATATATATATATATATGTTTAATCTTTTTCTTGAGCCAACAAAAAGTAGATGTATTAAATGCAAGTGTACTCTCAAACCCAATTAAGTGTGCAAACATTATTAATTTGAACATTGAATGGCGTGTGTATATTCCTTGGGCAAGTAAAAAGTAAGTGTCTTAAATGTTAAGATATATCACAACAAACCGTAAATATTTTTTTGGACAAATAAGATTATAAAATTTTGTAATTTTATAAACCTATTTCTGTGGATGGAATATAACATTTTTTCACGCAATTAAATATTATATATATATATATATATAGACATTTTGAGTGTTAAGATTGCGCAATTAAATATATACCTCAACATATATGATTACTCTTTTTCTGGAGCCAATGAAAAGTAGATGTATTAAATGCAAACTTTCTCTCAAACCCAATTAACCGTGCAAACATTAGGAATTTGAAGTTGTTTTGCATGAAAGGTAATTATCATGAATCAAAACATCTAGAACTCCAAAGACGCCATCTTCCATGATTTGATTTTCAAAGCATTTCTTTTCTGGTTTTTTAAGATGAACATGTATCCTCGTTCCCTGTAAAAAAAATGAAAACTAAATTAGAATTTAATTGCGTAAATATGTAAATAATGTAAAATACACTTGATAAAGAAAATTATGTGTTCTTCATGGAAGATGACTTCCATGGAATCCCCCCTTTGCCAAGTTGGAACGTTTTAGACGCGTATAGCTCGCAACTTTAGCATCCATGTTGTTCGGGCGATATCAATTGTGTCAAGCTTTTTCCACATTTCGGGTTATGGTTTACTGGAAATGGGTTTATGAAATTTGGATGTAAGAGAAGTTGGCTTTGTTGGTTGTGAATCTGGCATGAAGTATATTAACGTATAAATAGCAAGTTTAATGAGACACTTCACTCTAATGCATTAATTGTCCAAGTCCTTTAAAGATTTCACAATCTCCACATTTAATGTTCAATTGGACATAAAGTAAATTTTACATTAAAAGTAGTGTTTGGTTTGATGGCAGCCGTGCCCACACTGTCCGAAGCAGTCAGAAATGACAATGCAACAAAGCTAAAAATTTAACATGCTAGAAATATCAGCCCACTGACATGCAGCAAAAAAGCCCACTAATTCGGCCCGTTTTTTTGGGCGGGAACACTGTAGAAATTCTCCTCACACCATTGTATAGATAAAGATACGAGGGAGGATAATCATATTAATGCACGAGAGACGAATAATATTTATTTCACTAATATAAATTAATGTGGCGAGGCAGGGTAAGAGAATCATATTTGTTTGAATAATAAAATTGGTAATCTATTTTTTAAAATTAATACAGTAAAGAATGATTATGAAATCACAATTTTTTAAATAACACTGGGCAAAGGAAAATCATATTTTTTGAAAAATAAATAATTTGAGAGAAGAGAATCATATCATTACGAAGAGATTAATCAATTTTTTTCAATAATCTAAACCAATACGGGGATCATATATTTTGCCATGACGATTGTATAATAATTGAGTTTATAAATGAGAACAAATATTTGTAAATCTCAAAGCATAAAATAATTTCAATTTGAAAAATGTTATACCCATTATGTTATCTAAGAAGATCGATCAATCATCTGAATTACACAATTTATATTCGACAATAAGTTGTGCCCAATTTTGGGTACAACCAGCCTTAAAGCGAATCAACAAAACAGAGTAATCGTGCAGAAGATATGGATTGCCACAAGGACCCAAAGTGTGACACGATGGAAGATCTAGATTGTCGCAAATTTGCGCAGAATAGCGGCAACCCTAGTTGCGGACAGGAGAGACGATTCAGGCGTTATTCCTCTAGAAGAAACTCATAAACCCTAGGTCCAACTATTATTGTTGCTCACAGTGATGAAGATGACGATGTTGATTGGAGTAATTTGGAGTAATGTAAGTTTAATTAGACTATAAAATTATATTTCTAAATTTGAAGGGAATGAACAGTGTGTTACTTGTTGATGAATACTAATTTATTCGTAAATTAATATTATAATTATATTGTATAAATGTGTGAAAATCAGTACTACATTATTTCAGAATGAGTACTTCGTTATTTCAAAATGAACGTTTTTATTTGTGTGAGAATGAGTACTACTTTACTTTAAAATGAATATTACTAGAATATACTTTCTAGTACAACCGGATGTACCATATAGATTCTCTTTGAATTGTACGGAGTATAATATTACAAGGTTATACATTGAAAGTTGTGAAAAAATTATCTTAATCGCAATTGTAGTATTAGAAAATAAAGCCTTAAAGAAGATTTACATGTACATTATAAATGACTTATATTTCGTATATCATTTCGCATATTATAAATGCCTTATATTTCGTATATCATTCTATACAAGATTACTCTTGAAGTTTCAAAGAATATAATTTTCAATTACTTATGTCTCGTCATGACTTATGATCATAAAAAAAGTTATTGACAAATATTGGCATTAATAATATTATTTTTTACCAAATTTGTATTCACGTATTGTTAAATTTATATTATTATTTCACAAGTGAGAGTAAAAATAAAGTTGAAATTATTAGTTTTACATGTCTTTGGTAATCTTTATAACTTCACAAAAAAATATTACGGAGTATATGCCTCAACATTTTTTAAAATAATCTAATTTAAATAAGACTTTGAAATGTTAATTTTTAATTATATATAGTAGACTTTTCATTAGCGAATTCTATATGTTTTATGTTTTTTGATATTTGAAAAATTTTGTCACGATGAAAAATAATAAGAACAAAAAAAATTGTTCGACCCTCTGTATGACACGGGTCAAAATACTAGTTATTTAGAAGAGATGACATAATTATGAGTTACTAATTCCTTTCTATTGTTACCGCGTCTATTTAATTTAAAGGTTTGCTCTCAAATAAAAAGTTCATATCTTTTAAAAAATGTTAATTTTAATGATGCAACAAAAAGAAATATGAAAGATTAGGGCTGCTCGCACGAGTAGCTCAACTGGTCCAAAGAGAAAATATCAAACTCGTTGATTCCTAGCAATAACAGTGTTAGAATTTAATTATTTGTAATAGTTTTTTGTGCAAAACAAACACAAAATGACATCGTTTAAGAATTAAATTGAGATTATGATATGATCTTTTAAGTAAAGGGCCCTGGAGATTCTATTCGGGCCAAGTGAAGCTCCAAGATAGCCAGCCCATCTTTCAACAAGGGCATTTATGTAACTTTCAATAAGAGATAGCTTAGAAATTTTGTGTGACAATCTCCGTCTCATCTTCTTCGACCGGAAAGCGAAAATGGTGCTCACTCTTTCCAATACCTTCCTACAGAGAAGCTTTCACCTTCCTTCGTCGTCCTCTTTTACGAAGGCAATTCCTTTAAAACCCACTAAGGATCTTAAATTTTGTTTCTTGATTCTTGAAATTATTGATTTGTTTATCCAGGCCCGTACTGGACCGGGAGATAGACCCAATCGGATCCGATGGACTTGCAGGAAGAAGGAGATTCACCCGACATTCTACGAGGATGCCAAGGTTTACTGCAATGGCGAGCTGGTGATGACGACCGGCGGGACCAAGAAGGAGTACGTGGTGGATGTCTGGTCGGGGAACCACCCATTTTACCTCGGAAGCCGCGCCCATCTCCTCTCCGACGCCGGCCAGGTCGAGAAATTCCGCAAGAAGTTCGCGGGTTTGTCTGATCTTATGGAAATCCCGGTGCTGAAAGGTGAAATTGTGATTCCTCCTAAGAAGAAATCCGGTGGGAAAGGAAAGAAGAAGTAGTGAATTAATTTCCCTTTCTTTTTTCTTTTTTTATGGGTTTCATTTTCTTGATTTTCTTTATGGGCGGGGTAAAGATTGGATCTTTTGTACTTATTTGATTGTTTGAAAGTGTTGCCTTTGGAAATGTTTCATCCCATCATCCCAGATGAGTAACTTTTCTCCATTTCAGTGCTTCTATGTATGATTTAAGCTGATATTGTAATTGATGTATCATGCAATTGACTTGATATATGGAAGATTAACACTATGTTTGGTTAAAGGAATTTGAAAAGGAAAAGAAAAGAAAATGAGATGGAAAAGAGTTTTTCTTGTTTGGATAGAAAGAAAAAGAAAATGAGAAGGCAAATAGTATTAAGAGGGAGACCAAATTCATCCCATTTTGGTGAGGAAAATGAGAGAAAATATTTTCTTTTTGTTTCCTTTCAAATTCCTTGAACTAAACATAGGGTAAGAATGACTGATGTTGGTAATGTTGATTAGTGGTTCTTGTACGTATAAAATAAAGTTTTACAGACTGGTTTTGAAGTAAGGTATCAGGTTTAGTTGCTTGTGTTGATGAATGGTGATGGGAGTGAGAAAAGAGGGGTTGATGAAAGAACACCGCTTAACAACCCAGTGCTTGTTCTTTGACCTCATTTCACTGCAATGGATGACAAACAATTGTGGCGGTGTGGGAGGTTTGGTACGTCTCTTATCCGTTTTACTACGCATATTTTGAGTAGTGGTGTTTTACCCCATCCCAAGTAATCTCAATTGATATGTTACTGGTGGGTTTTGCTGCATTTTGTAATCTGAATGTGATTATTGGCTTGGGGGAAGTGTGTATGATAACTACTGATCTACATTTCGTTCTTTTGCAGTCTTCCAGTGGGGAAAACACTTATTTTTTACTGCATTTTAAAGTGTTCAGGCACCAGAATTTCAGGTAAGTTGGCCAAGAATGATTTTTTTTTTTTGAGTTGATTTTGGTTTAAGCATTTCAAAATGATGTGCTTCACCATACCTGTGTTGAAGTATTTGCCTGTGACATGCCTCTGTTGCACAAGTCTTTTAGAACTGAGCACCAAATGTGAACAAGCTTGAAGGGATTCTTGAAGGAATAGGGCATGTCTGTTAGATGCACCAAATGTAGACTTGCGTATTACTCAACAACAACGGGTCTGTTTGGGAATAGTGTATTCGATTAGCGTTAGTATTTTGGATAAAATTTTAACTGTACTGATTAACTTTGAAAATCCTAACGCTAAAAGTTGCCCGTAGATAGCATTTTCAATACGCTAACGCTAACCTTTGACGCTTTTCCCAAACAGGCCCAACAACAACAACAAATCCAGTATAATTGTTAGAAACAATGCATTTACAGATTTACTTTCCAAAACTTCTTAGAAAATAAGAAGCAAGAAATGTTTAATTTGCCATTTGTATCTAGTCCATTACTTACCCGGAGGTAAAATATTGTCAAAAAAGACTCTTTTTTAGCTCCATTAGCAAGTGAAGACTTGTGTATCATTACTCTATTTATCCCGATTTTAAATTCACACTTCTTTTTAGATTGTCTCGAAATAAAATTGAAGCCTCTAGTTTTGGTAAAGAATACAACAAACAACAACCTAGTCGAAATCCACAAAAGTAGACTCTGGGGAGGGCGTGTGTATAGAGACTTTACCCCTACTTGAAAGTGGAGATGATGTTTCGAAAAAGAACCCGACTCAAGCACTGCAAGTAATTAATCACGTACACAGCCTGACCCCCTATGTTTTTGACGGCTAGTTCTAGATGACCCATGATGAACATTGAAAGTTCACTGACTACCTGCTACTTCATTATTAAAGAAGCACACACAATGTAAAGAGTCGCTTTGCTAGGTTCCATCATACTCTAACACTAAAAAAATAGTATTACTTATCTTTATTGGAATCCAATCAAATTAAAAGTGAATGTAACTTTAATTAAAATCAGAACAGTATGCACAATGGCATGGAAAAACAAGTACTATGACACAAATGACAGAGTAGAAGCAGATGCATGACATGATGAGCTATATATGCTTTTATTGTATCATGCACTATGGCATTAGTTTGTTGAATTGAGTTTTTTATTGTTATTATTTATTTATTTTTATCGGTTTCGGGTAGGACCTATTTCAAATCTGTTCATCCATACTCTTTAGAGCGGTAAAATTCCCGGTCCATTTTGGTCGAGATTCAAAATTTTATCGGGTTAAATCGGCAAAACCAAATTCTAGCCTTTTCTAGTGCATTCCAATTTCTAGCCCATTATAATTGTTAATTTAGATCATTATAGTGTCTAATGTTCCTATTTTTGGGTTAGACCGGTAAAATGGGATTGACACTCCCCTCTCTATGTATGCAAGTTGAAAGTGTGAAAATTCTTATTAAATATTTTTAAATTTTCTTATCTATTTTCTAATTTAGGTATTTTCAATGTTAGAATTATCATGGATACTTTTTCCTAAATAAAATGTGGTGTATAATATTTTTTCGCACAAGCCTTTTTTTCGTTTTTTTTTTTCATTTCAAGGCAGGCTTGTTTCTACGGTGACTTTTTTGGATCCACAATCAGCTGAAAGTAGCAACAAAAATGCTTTGTGCAGTAAATAATTTTTTTTACTCCGCCTCAAAGCAGCAGCTAAATGTTGTGCTAAAATTAAGATTGCGCATTTTCTTTTTCGCGTGGCTTAAAGAAAAGTTTCACTTCCTATTTTTGAAACAGAATTTGTCTCCTTTAGACCATCTCTAATATAATTATTCATATTAAACTCAAACTCAAAATCCAACCAATGCTAAATTTACAGTAACTTAGTTCCAAGTCTCCAACACATTACATCAAAATTAAAATAATATTCTCACACTATAATACATTTTTCTCTTATAACTTTTTATATTTTAAAAATTAAAAAATGTAGTAAATTATAAAACAAAAACTTAGCTAAAAAGTCAAATAATGTAATTAAGTTAAAAAAAATATCACGGAGTAATAAAGATATGGAAGAAAAGAAAAAAAGAGTACCCCAAATTACAAGCCATATATTTTTGGGTTTGAAATAATGCAAAACCTATTATGCACTTAGAAATTAAGTACTCTTTGAGGATGTACAACACTAAAACTAAATATTAGAGTATTATTAGAGATGCTCTTATAATTTAATTGTCTCTTCTCTACATCACTTCTAAATACAAAATTTTACTTTCCTTAATCTTCATGTCGATCAATTCAAAGGCGAAATTTTTTATGTGCGTCGAGGAAAGATATATTATTTATTAATTTGGGTATGTAAAGCACCAAAACACTCACAAGTGTCATTTCAAGTGATTATATATCTTCACGTGGAATATATATATAATATAATTGAAGAAATTCATATGTGTTCTCATATTCTTTATTGGTGGGGGGTGTGTGTGTTGTGGAGTGGAGTGCAAGTGGAATATGTTCAATGTTTCAATATATTCATTCCCGCCATGTCAATTCCTAAATCTTTATGTCATTTTCATTCTTTGATACTTCAATGTCTAATTCATCCACTCTTGTTTATATAGTTTGCTGCTCGATAAGACCATTTCTTGTCTTGATTAATTAATTAATTAATTAATATTATAACTCTAATATAGGATTATTATATTATTATTATTCTTCATGCACCTCCAAAACATGCTTACCTGGCCAGAAGAACAATAAAGAGTTCACTTTACTGCATGCAATTTCTTCGTCCATATTCATTGGCACGTACGTAGAATATGATGGGATAATTTATAGCTGAAGTCAATGAACATAATTCATTCATATTGTGTGGAAATTTGTTGGTGATGTGGAAATGACCATGACTTTTTTATACACATACCCAAATTTTGTCACACTCTTTCGCGAACTGCATATACAATTTTTTTGTTTGGTTACAGTGAAAATATAAAAAAATGGATGGAAAAAAATTGAGAAGACAAAATTGACTAAGAGAAGGAAAAACAAAATTCCTCCTATTTTGGTTAGAAAAAATGGAGAAAATTAAAATTATTTTGACATTATATTTCCTTTTTCTTTTAAATTACTTGAATCAAACAAAGTGTTACTCCGTATTATTTTAAATGTTCTCCAAATCAAAATTCGTTGTGCCCCACACCATCCATGCTCTTTTTAATACATTGTTTATATTGTATGCTCAAATATGCGGAGTAATATTGAGTAATTACTAAATAGTCAAAATGTTACAAAGAAACTTTGAAAAGTCAAATGATTTTTTAAATGGAATAAACTATTTATTACACGTACTCCCTATTATTTAGGGCTTGATCTATTCGCCTTAATTTTAGTATGAAATATCAAAATTGGAACCCAAAATTTGGAGTATAATTGTAGTGATAATTAATTATTATCATTAAAATGCAAATCTAGAATGCAAAGACTAGAGTAAAATTTAAAATTCAGAGTCAATATAATGGTGGAAGCTATTGTTTTGTGATTGAAGATTGGAAAATATAGGAAAGGAAATTAAAGGGCCCCTTATCTATGTGGTCCAATCATATCTTTTCAATTTGGGGATTATTTGTTATTCCCCATCAAATTCTTTGGCTCTTAAGTAGCTCTCACACTTATAATCTCAATCTTTTAAGTAAAAGGGTGAGATTTGAACACTGAATGGATGTAGAAAAATTATTTGAGGTTACTTTCATGCCATTACGCCAACATGCTTCGACTATACTAATAATTCTCTAATACTCGGTTCTCTCTCCCCTTTTCTCTACATGATATATTCTCCCTTAAAAGAGTTGTGCTATAATAGTCGAAAAACATAATGCGAAATGTGAATTTGCTCATATATTTTTTATGAACTCATAATTGAATCTTTTTCTCTTTACAAAAGATAATAAGTATAATCATTTTATGTATACATAAAATGAGTATATAGCTAAGGACCACCAAAGACTTTCCCCCCTTAAAAACCACCCATTAAATATACCCTTAATTATGTAGAATAATTTAATTCTTTATGTGACATGATATGACAAGATAATTTATTTTATTTTTATATATCCTGAACGGAGAATGTTTGACTGAAATTATTTTCAAACCATTTTATATGACAAATGGTATAGAATTAAAAAATAAAAATTACATATTAAAAAACTTCATCAAAAGATCTACAAAACTAGTAGTGACAATAATATTTTATTTTATCAAATTGCTAACGAAAATAGAGAAAGAAAGTGAATGAAGTTTGACCATGTGAATAATAAACAGACATTATAATTTGGGACGGAAGGAGTATCTTGTATGTTATCTCAAACTGTTAATTCAATTACACATGAAATCACTCTAAATATGAGTAAAACATAGAAAAAGTACCAAAATATGAAATCTATATTTTTGTTTCCTAAATAGAAATTCGCACTGTGATAATGTGGCACTATACGCGTGTAGTTTATAATATTTTTTGGTAATGTACATGAAACTCATGTTTGATATATTTTCAATGGTTTACTTGTACTATATATAGTCTTTATTCTCTCATTCAATTATCAAGATTTAATTTATTCAGAGCTTATTCTCTTCATCTGATCTGATTGGTTATAATTTGATTGCAATAGGTTTTGATCAAATGTGATTAAATCTGATTTATATAGGGATCATTTATGAAATTTACTCATAATATTATTATTGCAACTAAATTCTGAGTTGTTCTTCCGTGATCCTAAGGTCCACAACATCTGAAATGTGTGCCTTTCCACATTTTTAATCCATAGGTTGGAAAGTGGACTTTTTCTTTTTATTCAGAATCCTCAATTCTTTTATGATATTAATGTACTAAAGTTCATATTAGAACCACGTAATAAGATAACATGTTGTATGTATAATTGTGTTCAAGGAGATGAGCCATTATTTTAAACAGACTTTTATGTCTCGCATAATAATCCACTAATCCAGATTGGTTATTCTCATCTTTCTTAATTAGCCCGTAGTTTTGATGTATCAATACTCGTCAAGAGATTGTGATGCTTTAGATGCCAAATTGAACCATGGCATTTTGTGGACCTTATGATCCCATGTCATTGATTGAGCTATTAATTGATTAACTTAATAATTTGCTCTATCTTAATATTAAAGTCTCGTTTTGATTTTATACATTTTAAGCCAAAAAGTAAACGTGTATTTTGTCTCATTGTTAATGAGAATGGAAAAATTAAAGGTATTAGATAAAAAAATTCAATAAAAAGTAAGCGTACTTGTAATGTGTCTCTTAAATCTTTTCATCTTTTAAAAAAGGTGGAATTTAAAACAAGTTTAGTTCTTATATTACGTATAATGTTGCTAATACTTTTATTGGGGTAGTATATGATGTGATAATGATANGCTAGTCTTTTCTCATAAGAGTCATAAGTGTCTCTAAAAACACTTAAATTTCACTTTAAAAAAAATCCCTTTTTCCTCTAATATGAAGTTATATATATATATATATATATATATATATATATATATATATATATATATATATATATATATATATATATATATATATATATATATATATATATAACTTCATATTAGAGGAAAAAGGGATTTTTTTTAAAGTGAAATTTAAGTGTTTTTAGAGACACTTATGACTCTTATGAGAAAAGACTAGCAAATCGAAGTGGAATATATAGGAAAAGAACCAAAATAGGAACTTTAGACTTTTATTTTCAAAATAGAACTTATAATGTCAATAATACTAACATATAATACAAAAAAATTGTGGAATAAATGCTACGGAGTATTACACAGTGTCGTCATGTTGGGAAAATCACATCAATTTTCTAGCGGAAGCAATTAATAATTTTTCCGTCTTTGTGTTGTCAAAATGGGCAAAATCATATGACCAATCAAGAATAGCAAACACAACAACAAGCAATCAACCAAGCGATAAACGAACACCAAGATTTAACGTGGAAACCCCAAATCGGGAAGAAAACCACGAAGCCTTCCACTAATCACCAAGAAAATTTGTGGGTACACCAAGAATCCTCTCTAAATCAATTAGAGGTACACACAATCATCAAGTAATAACTTGGAACACCAAATAACAATAATCTTCACTCAAAAGTGAGAAATCCCCAATAAAAACGTAGCAGTAAACAGAGACGGTTTTACCGACATCGAGAGGTCAAAATAACAATCCCACCGTTGGATATGAAAAAGAGGATCTCAAGAACAACATACTAAAATTTCATCTCGATCGGAGTTCGTTTGGTCGTCGATCGGAGCACAAAACCAGGCTGCACCTCTCTTTTTCTCTCTTCTTCCTTCTCTCGGTTTCCTCTCTTTTTTCTCTCCCGGTTTCTGCCGTGTACTTCTGCCCGTGACCAGCCTGCCCACAAAAGGCTATTGCCTTTCAAAAAGTGGCAGCCCCACATTGACTCTTTTTTTGTTCTTTTCTTATAATAATAATAATTATTATTATTATTATACTCCACCTCTAAACAAATTATATTTTAACACTAAATGTATTGTTTAGAAACTCCTTCCTCCATGTAGGAGGGATACCCCAACAAATCTCCCCCTCACTCCTACATGGGGGGTGAAACTCAATGATGATAATTATCAAACAGACCTTTCACAACCAACTGCGCCAAGTTCGTAGGTTGTGAGCAACGCTCTCTTCTCTTCAACTTGAACACCCGATGGCTCTTGAGTGCTTGCTTGCTTCCATGCAACTTTACCAGGGAATGACCACGTCCTTCAAGCAAGGATATAACTCCATCTCGCTTGGCTTGAAACCATTCACTTTGGTGCACCTTCTTTATTTCATCCCGATATCAATCTCTCTCAAATATACCCATTTGAGGATCCCTCTGTGGCAGAACTCCATGCTCGGAATGAGGTGGCTCAAGTACATCACCATCACGAGCAACATCATCACCACAACATTTTTCTCCATCTTCTCCCCCATAATCTGAATGTATGGTAAGAAAAGGAATATCACCTTCAAGGAGGATATTTTGACAACTCTCAAGCTTGTGACCAAGCCTCTTGTGCGATGTCTCCGTGGAGGGCGCAATATTCTGATCTCCTCTGCACATCTTTGCTTGCATCACGTAAATCCTATTCTCTATTATACCTCAGGCCACGATCAAAGAACCTTTGGTGAGCTTCCAGTTTCCTTCACCAAGGCGGCTAACATAACCATCTCCATCAAGTCCTCCAGCTGAAATGAGGTTGGACCGAAACTCTGGAACATGTCTGACATCTTTGAGGGTCAACCTGCAACCAGTGTTGGTCTTCAAACAAACAGTGCACATCCCAATAATCTTAGATGATTTATCACCATTCCCCATCTTGGCATAACCAAAATCACCGCTAGTGTAAGATGAGAAGAACTCCCGATGAGGTGTGAGATGACATTAGGCACCCGAATCAATAATCCAAGTGCAATCCTTAAAAGCAACATCAAAGTTAGTGTCATCAAACACGAAGAATAAATCATCCGCATCTGCAAGGGCTGCTGTGTCTTTCTCCTTTTTCTTCTCAGAAGTCTGACCCTTTTCCTCTTTCTGCTGGGCTTTATCTCGCTTCATCTTTCTGCACTGAGATATCTTATGGCCCGGTTTATCACAATAGAAGCATTTTACTTCGCTTCTTGATTTAGATCTCCCCCTAGATTCAAACTCTCTATGTATGTGTCTTCCACGACTCTCTACCTCAGCAACATGAGCCTGATCTGAATAGCTGGAGGAACTCAGATCTCTTCTCCTAGCTTCTTCATTCAGCAGACTCGACTTCACAACATCCATTGTGAGCTTACCCTCTGGAGCAGAGTTCCTAAGTGATACAACCAAGGTCTCCCAGCTTTCTGGCAACGAGCTGAGGAACACAACGCCTGCAATTCATCATCTAAAACCAATTTCATTGAAGACAACTGGTTAATCAATCCCCGAAAATTATTCAAATGCTCTACCACACTATGCACATCCATGTAATCAAGTTTCACAAGTCTTCTCATAATAGAGGCTTTATTCAGGGCATTTTCTCTCTCGTACATGCATTTGAGTTTCTCCCACAGTTCATAGGCGTTGGTATCATTAGCAACATGCTGAAACACACTATCACCAATAAATTGTCTAGTCATTCCCACAGTTTTCCGATTAAGCAATTTCCAAGTACCTTCTTGTTTACCGCTTGGCATCTCTTTATTCAGGATAGGTTCATGCAAATCCTTAATATATAAAATATCTTCCATCATGGGTTTCCAACTTTGATAATTGGAGGAGTTTAATTTAATCATTCCCCCAAAAACAGCTTTATCCTCCATTTTAACAACACAAGAAAATCACCCACAAATTAAGACTCAAGCTCCGATACCAATTGTTGGAAAAATCACCTCAATTTCCAAGCGAAAGCAATTAATAATTTTCCTGTCTTTGTGTTGTCAAAATGGGCAAAATCATATGACCAATCAAGAATAGCAAATACAACAACAAGCAATCAAGCAAACGATAAACGAACACCAAGATTTAACGTGGAAACCCTAAATCGAGGAGAAAACCACGAAGCCTTCCACTAATCACCAAGAAAATCAGTGTGTACACCAAGAATCCTCTCTAAATCAATTAGAGGTACACACAATCATCAAGTAATAACTTGGAACACCAAACAACAATAATGTTCACTCAAAAGTGAGAAAGCCCCAATAAAAACGCAATAGTAAACAGAGGCAGTTTTACCGACATCGAGAGGTCAAAATAACAATCCCACCATTGGATATGAAGAAGAGGATATCAAGAACAACATACTAAAATTTCATCTCGATCGGAGCACAAAACCAGGTTGCACTTCTCTTTTTCTCTCTTCTTCCTTCTCTCGGTTTCCTCTCTTTTTTCTCTCACGGTTTCTGCCGTGTACTTCTGCCCGTGACCAGCCTGCCCACAAAAGGCTATTGCCTTTCAAAAAGTGGCAGCCCCACTTTGACTCTTTTTTTTTTCTTATAATAATAATAATAAATATTATTATTATTATTATACTTCACCTCTAAACCAATTACGTTTTAACATTAAATGTATTATTTAGGAACTCCTTCCTCCATGTAGGAGGGATACCCCAACACGTCATACTATCACACTGCAATAGTCATATTTTGGAAATATAGTTATGTTTTACTCCTATTTTACACGATTTTTTTAAAGTGATAGTATTTGGTATGACAAAATTAAGAACTATGAATTTGATATACAAAAAAGTACTCCGCAGTTGATTTATTTTTAAGAATTTGTTTAAAAAATTAATTGATGAATGTTAAACAAGGAAGATGAAACTTTATTGACCAAAAAAAAGAAAGATGAAACTTTAATATTGGGGTGGAGGGAGCAGAATTAATTAAAGCTTAATAATATGGATATAGATCATACATCTTCCGTGGCCATTAGAAAGAGGGAAAAAAATCTAGTGGGATGTACAATGATTAATTGATTATGGGAATCATTATTGTGAATTGTGATTGATGTTCCACACAACTTCTGAATTAAAAATGTTCCGTAATTTGGTCGCATGCATGTGTTAGGACTTCGGTTATACTCCAATTAAACATGGAGCTTGATACATGTATCCAAAATTTGTATTACTTGTATACTAAAAGCATGTACTAATATTTAGATAGTTTATAGTGACATAAAAGATTGGTGTGTTAATAAAAATTTATAATGATACAAAGTGTTGAAGCGTTAACAAAAATTAGCATTACACCAACACAAAATAATGGTGCATCCCTACGTGTGGTATACAAAATAGGGTACAAATCCTTCGGGTACAAGTAGCTTTATGCCTTTACCCATTAAACCTTGATGGGGTGGGGATTTTAATGAAAGGGTCAATTTAAATTTAAAAATAGGATCTTTTTGAGTAGAGCTGACAAATCGGTCGGTCAGGTCGGGTTCGGTAACTTCATGTTCGGGTTATTTCGGGTTCGGGTCAATTCGAATTCGGGTTGAGAATTGTATGTTCATGACCCAGTTTCATCGGGCTCGGATCGACCCAACGGGTTATGACTTTGATTTTTAAAATTTTTAAATTAACATTAACACTTACATTTTCTATTAAATAAATTCAAAATATCAAAAAAGTATTAAATCTATAAAATTATTTTATTCTAAACTTTGAAGTAATTTTTAGATATATCAATTAATATAAGGAATTTAAAAATGTTTAAGTTTTGGAAAAAAGTAAGATAATTATGCAATATCATTAAAATTTGTTCGAAAATATAAATTTATGCACTAAAAACTAGTAAAATGTATGATTTTGAAAAACTCTTACTTTAGCGGGTCGGTCAGGTTGGATTTGGGTTCGGTTGGGTTTGACCCATTTTTAGCGGGTTATTTTGGATTCGGTCAAGTTCGGGTTCGGTCATCAAAACATTTGTTCAAAATCTAATTTTTTTAAGTCGGGTTTCGAGTCAAAAACAGATCAGGTTATTTTTTGTCAAGTCTATTTTTGAGTAATAAAACTATTCCATCATTTAATATTCAGTAAAACGCATTGTATCAGTTTTTAATATCAAAATTGCCAAATTGGTTGTTGTGTCTATGCCGTGGTGCCGTACTCAAATTTCCTTTAAATTAAGTGGACTCTGTAATATTTGTCTAGTTTTGACGTTGACTCTTTAACTTCTTGATTAAATATAATTTATATACTCCCTCCATCTCACAAAAAAATTCTCATTTTGAATATATAGTATTTAATCAAATATTTACACGCTTTGACTACAGATTGTGAAAAAGGTATATTGAATTATAAAATAAATTTAATATAATTGGATTTATCTTAGGATATAGTTTGGATATCTCAAATTTTTTTAGTATTTCTTTATTTAGATTATATTTAAATTATGGTCAAAGCATGTGTTTGACCAAAAATACATCAAATTGGGAATTTTTTTGTGAGACGGAGGGAGTAGTATATTAATTTGATAAAATAATATGTTGAAAATATTTTATAACATATTTCCATTTTCTATTAAAAAACCACTTTTACCCTTACTTTTTCATACCCTACATATCACATCATATTTTTCTCTAATAATATATCCATCACATCTTACTTTTATCTATTACATTAGGTGCAAAATTGAAAATCAATTATAATTTAATATTTTCTTATTTTAACTCAAGTCAAAGTAGGAAGCCTTTTTGCAAAAGATTATAATAGTCGTACTTTGTACCCAAAAACAAATATGAGCGTGAGTGCGT